CACACACACACACACACACACACACACACACACACACACACACACACACACGCTGCTCCGCACCCCCACACGGAATGTTTTCACCCTTTGGGGGAATGAAATTGGACCAGTGGGATGGCTCAGGGAATAGGGGTTTGAATGGGAATTCCCAGATAGTCTTGGGTATTTGAACACTCGGTCACTGACGCCGTGGAGGTTTAGATGGCACAGCCTTGCTGGAGGAACCACATCACTGGGAGTGAGCGCTGACGTTGAAAGCCTCACGCCGTTGCCAGTTTGCTCTCTGTTCCCTGCTTGTCTTTGGAGATGTGCGTGCTCGACTCTCTGTTCCTACTGCCCAGCGCCACCATGCCTCCCCAGGGTGATGGACCCTTGCAGCTCTGTGCCGGTAAATCAAAACAAACCCTTCCTTCTGTGAGGATCTTGGTCATGGCGTCTTATCCGAGCAGCGGAAAAGTAACTGAAGCCTGTAGTAAAGGTGCCTGCTGCCAAGCCTGCCGGCCTGGGACCCACACGGAGGAAGGGGAGAACTAACTCCTGTCACGTGCACGCTTTGGCACCCACGCCACCCACCCACATAAATAACTGCGTACATACATGCATACATACATACACACATACATAGTTTTTTGAAGAATGCAGCCATGAGGTTTGCAGGAAATGGAAGGAACTGGAAAGAACTGTGTTAACTGAGATAAGGCAGACTCGGGGAGACATGCATCACATTCCCTAGCAGACACAGAAGGAAAAACAAGAGACCTAAAGCAGAAAGAAATTCGTGTGGGAGGGAGGCTGTAATGCTGACAGTCCCTGGGAAAGTAACTACAGAGGACCTCACAGACTGTGAAAGTGATGTAACGTGGCCGTGGTTTTGTGTAATCGTGTACATTAATAGAAAGTAAATACGCAAGAAAAGCTGATCAGTGTGGAGAGGAAGTAAATAGTCCTTTCCGTAACAAATGAGGAGAAATCTTCCTTCCTTTCCTTCATTCCCCCGACCCCTACCCCCAGTTCCTTTACCTGTTAGTAAATCGTGGAAGGCCACAGTGGCCACCCTCAAGGGTGGCCCCACCTTGTAGGAAGAGTCCACAAGTCCTGGCAGGAGGCACAGGTCTCAGGGGCCATGAGGGGGTGTAGGTGGGGGGAGACTGGAGGGACCCAAGGTTCCCCAGGAGGGATAGGGCAGGTCCCAGCATGAGAACCCAGGAGGGCACACCTGTGAAGAGGGGCTGGGGAGGAGGTGGGCACTTCTAAAGACCTGTGGCTCGACCACATTTCAGTATTCCCGAAGTTTTGTGAGGTCCATTGCGCACTCCCTGTGAAGTCCAGTTTTATGGAGAACCACCCGCTTCCTCAGATGGTGTCGGGCTTACCTTCCGCTGTCTCCCAGGTGGTATCGCTCCCTTGTCTTCAGCTAGAGAACCTCTCATTCCTAATTCTTGGTCTTGGTGATTTCCCATCCACCGACCCCACTATTTCTGGGTTTCAAGACCCGCTTCTCCAAGATGTGTTCCAGTTGAGACTCATCTCTCTTCCTGTTGCAGAATCTGTTGTCATAGTAACCCCATACCAGCACCAGTCTCCTCCCTGAATGATGTCTGATGTTAAAGCGTGTTTTGAAAACCCTGCTGCTTTCCCAGACTCTGGGAAATGTGAGGATGATGTTTCTACAGGGGCTGTAGACTCTGTCCAGGGCATGGCTGGGCAAGTCAGGGAGAGTG